AACTCTCTAATTTTCAATTATTAGTTTATCTATATTTTATATGTTTTGCCTAACAATTTTAGAGTAGATTCTGATATAGAAGAATAGGTTGCTGAATTTGAGATAAACGTCTGTTTATATATTCGGCTAGAATATTCGGTTTTTAAATCGTTTTGGTTATATATTACATTACGGCTTTGTTTGGAAAAGATTCTATTTAGATAACGTTATGCTTTACACTTATTTCATTCATAAATGTTTTTGCATTTACCTTTGATTACTGATCCTTCTCATTACATACTGGAGTATATAATGTTTTGGTTTTAGTGTTCTTTTTTATTTCAGTCATATATATATATATACTTCTTTTCTTTTTATTTCGGCCACTTATTTACATATATATATATATATATAAATTATTTCCAATTTTGTATTGTGATTCATCGCTTCTTCGGTCGTAGTATTAAAAATAATAATAAAAAAAAGAAAATTCCCGTTGTTTCTTTCTCCTTCTTACCAGACTTTTACATATATTTTTAGTTGTGTGGTTTGGCGGAGACGTAGTTCTGTCTTGAAAGCTGGTTTTTTAGGAGGTCTCACCCCATTAACCTTTTCTGGATACAAGAGGATACTAATCCCAATAATTATATGATTAATTATCATGCTAATTTCGTGAAGAAAAAAAATATTTTGTGCTTATTTTTCTGTTGAAATAAGTTGGTATTTTATAAATACAAATTTGTGGTTCTAAAACCTGGAGTCTATATTTTTTAATATGGCTACCGACTCGAACTCAAATTCTGTGAAATATACGACATGTGAAAATGTCACCGGTGCCCATCCATGTGGGGAGAGCGCTGATTACTACAATACCGGTTTCGGTTCCTGTGAATCACGATGAGAGACCGGAAAAATTCGTGGGTTGAATTCTATAAGGTGGCAAGAAAAGAAAGTCTGTACGTTGGTAAAGTCATTGTATGGCTTGAAACAACTATTGAAATAATGACATGAGAAATTTGATAATACCATGATGACAGATAGATTTAAAATCAATGAGTGTGACAAATGTGTTTATGTCAAAAAGAATGGAAATTACTATGTCGTTCTATGTCTTTTTGTGGATGACATGCTCATTGTTGGTAGTAATGATAAGATAATCAAGTAGACTAAAGACATGTTGAATTCTAGGTTTGACATGAAAGATATGGGATGTGCTGATGTGATTTTAGGGATGAAAATCATGAGAAAATCATATGGGCTCATTCTAAGTCAGTCGCACTATGTGGATAAGATTATTGAGAAATTCAATAAGGATGATTCTGGCGCTCTAGAACTCCGATAGATGCTAGTCTAGACCATCAAAGAATAAAAGAGAGTGTCTCTCGATTGGAGTATTTAAGAGTGATAGGAAGTACTTAATGAGTCTACACCTATCAAAGAATAAAAGAGAGTGTCTCCCGATTGGAGGATTTAAGAGTAATAGGAAGTACTTAATGAGCTGTACAAGACAAGACATAGCATACACTAATAGTAAACATCGTAAGTATATCATGAGTAATTTAGAAGCTGGCCATTAGAAAGCAATTATAAGAGTACTAAGATACTTAAGGTATACTCGTACTAATGGGCTGCACTATACCAAATATCCAACTGTTCTTGAAGGATACAGTGATACGAATTGGATATCTGAAATCAAGGACTCTCAGTCCACTAGTGGATATGTGTTTACATTGGGAGGTGTAGCTACGTCATAGAAAATCCTCGAAACAGACCGTGATAGCCAGATCCATTATGAAATCCGAGTTTATTGCTCTAGATAAATGTGGAGAAGGGGTTGAATGGTTACGCCAGGTCTTAGAGGATATTCCAAAGTGGCAGAAGCCTGTCCCAACAATCAGTATACACTGTGATAGTCAATATGCGATTGGAAGGGTATCGAGCAACATATACAATGGTAAGTCTAGATACATATGTCGTAGACATAATACCATTAGACATCTAATCTCGACTAAAGTTCTCTGTTGACTACGTGAATCAGAGGATAATATTGCAGATCCGGTAACCAAAAGGTTAAACTGAGAATTAATTGAGAAATCATCGAGGGAAATAGGATTAAAACTCATAAAATAGAAAGTCGAAACAGTGGAAACCCAACCTAATTGACTAGAGATCCTAAGATCTAGGTTCAAAATGACAACCTAGGTGTAAAGACATAGTTGGATCACTGTGGGGGTAATGTTCTTATCCATTCCTATGATGAAATAGTGATGTCGGTAGGGTAGAGGTTAAGCTATGCTTTTAATGATTCTTATGCATCGGGAATGCCCAGTGGAATAATGCAAGTTACTCTTAAATAAGAAATCACCTATGTAAGAGAGAAGTAGGGCTGCTTTAAAAGAGAATTGTGTAGGGTCAATTCTTTAGAAACTCTTGTAGAGCCAATGGATGTTAATAGCCAAAACAAATATAATAGTGAGAACGGAATTGTGTCTAGAAAGATTCATGTGTGAGGTATATCATCATTTATTACAGTAGTATAATTCAAGGACATCGCATCTATTGTTTAGTCAGTAAAGTAATTATTTTCTCTCAAGGAAAGGCTCAAAGGGTAACACCTACCTATCCTATGCAAGTTTCGACCATTGAACTCTATCACCAGGTCAAACTTTATTGTCTCGTTTAGTATCCTCCATCAATCTCAATCATGTGGGGGATGGTTGGAAAATGGCTTGAAAACCCTTTTCAGGGTACCATTTTGAGGCTCGATTTTGAGAAGATCACCACTTCGTGTTAGTGACGGTTCAATTTAGAATTGTGTTCTCCGTTTGAGAAAATCGAAATGATATATTTATATGCTCAAAATGGTGAACATTATATGAGAAATTGACTCTCAAAATGCTCCCATGAAGTTAGGAAAACTGAAGCGAAAGCTCCTAAAAATTTAGAAAAAAGTAAAAAGGCTATTTCTCTCACATCGGAAAGAGACATACCCATAATCTCCTCTAAACCCTATAAAAAGGATCCCCACTCATCAGTTGAGACACACTAAAATTTTAGAGTACTCTTCTCCTCTTAGAAATTTCTCCTCCTTCTTCACTGTCTTTTACATACAGTGAGGAGGCCAATATACTTTAAGAAAACACGTGCATCGGTATTTTTTTAGTTAAAAGTTTTTTTGTCATTTCCAATCATTTATCATATTGTTTGCGTTCGTTGTTATTTTTCCAGTTATCTGTTTATCTATATTTTATATGTTTTGCCTACCATCTTACACCTGGCCGGCAGCTCCGCTATGTTCTCTGGGGTCAAGTGGAGTCTCATCGTTGCTAACAAGCTCGCCTCCTTGTTCTTTTCAACCGTGGGAATAATAACATCTGCCGCAATAATATAATGGAAATGAGGCGCTAGATGTCAAGGATCTATTATCAATAGTAGGGACGATCATTTGTTACATTGTTTTACACGACCCTTTTGGATTTAATTTGTCTTCTTTGTTTTGGCTTTCATGCTCCCTCTTGTCTTGGTCTTTGATTGCGAATTTAGCTTCACTCTTTTCCACCCTGGAACATTACACTGATGGTCAAATGTGTGTATATATATACACGTATACATATATATCTGAGAAAGCATTTAAATATATAAATGATAATTAGAACTTGGTTATTTGCTCCTGTATTTCGTATGTAATAAAAATAGAAACCTACAGATTGGTGTTGTATATATATGATTGCATATGTACTTATTTAAATGATTTATTTCAGCTGAATAATATAGTGATTCATTAAAAGAAGAATTTACTGTGAAGGTTAATCCTTTCCAACCCCCATGATAACCTTACCGTGATGGTCGACCTGCGGACTCCTCAGCATAAGCTAATGAATTAGTGAAGCATAATTAGGCTCCATAACTTACCATGCTTCCTTATAAAATGTATTATTTCTCTCGTTCTCCCTTTGGAGACTTCACATGTTTAGCAAGAATAGGCAAATCAAAATGTACCGCCTTCTAGTTAATTAGTCGATCATGAGACAATAATCACTAATTAATCGTAAAAAAACGACAACTTTTTATCAATTAAAAATTTGAGGTGTTGGCTCTTCTAAAATGAGAAGAGCGTTTGATTGACACAATCTGCAGGCCACCAGCTGCTTAAAATATATAATTGGACCGAACAGTTGCTGAATCTCTCCAGCCGATCCTAATGTTTCTTGTAATTTATTATTATTATTATTATTATTATTATTTTAACTGGAATGGGGATCTATTCGCAATGTTTATCTTTCTTTATTATTGAATTCTGCCAGCTCATCACAGTATTAATCCTACACACGCTAACTTCCGGCTAACTTCCTATAATAATCAGCTATACAACTTTTATTACAACAAAAGGTCAACACAAGTATGATATAACAATA